GGCCCAGCGCCCCATTATGCCCGGTTAAACATTGCCACCTCATATCCAACACGTAAACTCATGTAAGATCACGTGGATGAAGCAAAGCTCTCTTGATGGTGAGGATTGTCGATGGACACCATTTTTACGGTGAGGGATGTTGTTGCCCTATCTGTAGGTGTGGATATATGGAAGGTATACGTACTACCTTTGTTTTTATTATTTACTCTCCATGTTAATTGTTTAGGTAAAGCAATGATGAATCTAATGGTCAAATTTTGGTATTGGCAATGTTAATAAATTTTCCTATAAATTTGATTAAAGTTCACAAATATTTTCTTCGACAAAGTTAATATGCAGAGTATATAAAAACAAAGGTGATATTGTGTTAAATATTTAATTATGATGGACAGATCATTTTTTGTAATAGTATAGTATATAAATGTTTACTTATGGTGTGTTGCAAAAATGGGTTGATCTTAGATGTATGGCAAGAACCGTTTGAAAATGTGTATATCGTTGGGTTGACATGTTTGCCGAAAACATCCAATGGAGATAGATTGAGAAGGAAAGTGAAATGGACATGTTGCCTATATATGTTTGTGTTTGAAGTGTGAAAATTTGCGTTTGAATCTCAGTGACTGAACAAATCTAGAACTTTGAACATCTCCCACCTGTACTGAAGCATATTGGAATTCAACTCTAACATAATTGTGCTGTTAATTTTTTTAAATTATTTCTGTTATTCTTGAATCAAGATGAGCACCCGTACACACTCTGTTGTTGCTGCCTCTTTTTGGGCACACGCTCACACCGCTGGTATTTGTTTGGCGGTTGAGTAGCGCACAATGCGTGGCTGGCCATAGAAAGTCACGCACAGTACCCCACAAAAAAAAAGTCACGTGCAGTAACAAGACCTCAGCTCTGCACCGAGGGGTACCACCGTCTTTTATCGGTATCAGCTCAGCTCTGCACCGAGGGGTAGCAGATGCATGGCGTGCACCACGTGACGTGAGAGGGCTTTTGCGTCATGCCCCTAGTTTGAATATGAAGTTCATCAATGGTGATTTAGCCCCTAAAACCATACTGACAACAGCAGCACTGAGCACTCAGCCCTGCTCTTACCTGTCCCTATATACATGAGCTTCCTGCACAAACCGAACATGTTTCCTCTCGATACCTAAATACTAGTTCAGAGACGATGCAGTTTACAAGCGGCCTCAAGAGAGGCTTACTCGAAACGCGTCCAAACTTTTACCACACCCTACAGAGGCCCTATGATGACACCGTGCCAGATCTCGAGCAATCCTACCATCGTACGATTTTCCGAGGATTTCAACGGTTGCATCAAGAATGACACCGAGATACTTTTGGTAACCCGGTGGCAGGGCATGCCCCTCCCTCGTCTGTGCAAGGAGTAGGCATGCCACAAGGACATCACAAATGATTCCCCATGCCGCTACCCGACATGATTTCATGTGCCACCTTGCTGATCTGCAATTCCCGGCAATGAAACCCCAGCAGAGCAATAAATTTCTCGAATATTGCGCGCGTCCCCGAAAAATGTGAGGCCGTGGCACGTGCCATGAGGTTGCCCCCTCTTAGAGCATGAGAAGTTTCGAGGCCAACGGAGCAACAGGACCAGCATTTCCTGCACAAACCGGACACGTTCCCTCTAGATACCTAGATACTAGCTCGGAGACGGTGCGGTTTACAAGCGACCTCAGGGGAGGCTTACTCGAAACACGTCCAAACTTTTACCACACCCTACAGAGGCCCTGTGATGACACCGTGTCAGATCCCGAGCAATCATACCATCAACATCACAAATAGTCCATCTCCTTAACAAGAGTGTAATGAATACCAAAGCTTAAAGCATATGGACTATCCCACTATTTATATTTAAACATGTCTTGTTGCTTGTCTGTAGGCGAGCTGGGACTAAACTTTGATGGTGGCCTTATCTTTACCGAGAGCCACTCTCGGTAACTGCTCGTTTACCGAGAGCCACTCTCAGGTAACATCCACTAGGAGATTCATAGTGGCTGTATGGACTCTTAGTAATGAGAGAAGACTGAAGCTTGTTGCGGTTGCACTATTAAACTATTTAAACAGGTCATTTTGCTAGTCGGTAAGCAAGGTGGGACTAAATTTTTGCCGAGCGCCACTCTCGGCAAAGAGTTGCAACCGTAACCGTGTCGTTAGTCGCCGCCAAATGTGCCACGTGGCAAAACTATGCCGTGTGTGGCCGGATGGCCCTCGGCAAATAGTGCCTTTGCCCAGTATAGCCTATTTGCCGAGCAATACTGTCGGCATTGTCGTGTGTTTGCCGACTTACTCCCTTTGCCGAGTGCGACTCTCGGCGTTCTTTACTTTGTCGAGTGCCCGTGTTTTGGCTCTCGGCGAAGACGCCAACACCCGGCGTATATGAAAATTCCAGTAGTGCACCTGTACTGAAGCATTGTAAGTCAACTCTAACATAATTGTGCTGTTAAGTTTTTTTAATTATTTCAGTTATTCCTGAATCAAGATGAGCACCCGTACACACTCTGCTCTTGCTGCTTCTTTTTGGGCACACACTCACACCGGTGGTATTTCTTTGACGGTTGAGTGGTGCACAATGCGTGGTTGGTCATACAAAGTCACGCGCAGTAACAAGAGCTCAGCTCTGCACTTAGGGGTATCAACGCTGCTTGACGCTGCTTTTTTGGAGGACTGCCTAAAACCATACTGGCAACAGCAGCACTGAGCACTCAGTCCTGCTCTTACCTGTCCATATATGCATGAGCTTCTCTCGCTTGCTTGGCCGGCCAAGTAGCAAGCAGTAGGTTCTTCTGTGCAAGCTCGCTCACTCCTCAGTCCCTAGTCTGGCAAGAGAGAAGAGAGATGGCTCGCCCCTACCACCTGACCCTCCTCTCCGTCTTTTCCTTCCTGCTCCTCACTGGCCTTGTGACTGCTGATCTGTCCGGAGAGAATAAAGTCGGGAAGATTGTGACCATGACCGTCCAGTACCCGGCCGCGGGCTCACCGCCGGGGGAGAAGACCACGATCTCAGCGCACTACGTTGACGAGAACGGAGGCGGCGACCGCCGCTTCAACCTCGACTGTGACGATGACGAGCCGTACGTCTCTCTCTCTGTGTGTGTGTGTCCTCTCTCTCTCTTTCTCTTCGTGTGATTTTTCTTGGTTCAGTAAATTTCTAGCTAAGATTACAATCGATCTGCAGCCTCGGTTTCGCCATGAAGTACCTTATCACGACCCTGGAGGGGATACGAGATACGCGGGAGTCTCGATCCGAGGTAACTAACGTCGAGTTTGCCCCACCCTGCTCCTTGTTCTCGCTGATTTCAGAACGCAATGTGAAGTGCTGATCTTGACCTTTGCCTCACTAATTGTTTCTCAGCTCTAGTACTACCTGGACCTTCACGTACGGTGCTCAGCGTGGTGGATGGTTGCATGTCCAGTGCCCAGTGGAAATTGGAGAAGGAGCTCCCCTTTTCGTCTCAGGGAAAATATATTAGGCGCCTTTTAACTTTGTGTTGTAGTATCGGACTATCAGTAATTAAGGGGAATTTCTGGTTGTACTTCCATATTATTGTACCCTCTATCAGTAACCAGTGCCAGTCGGAGAGGTAGCAGTGTGGTATAGTACAGTGCGCAGGGTGCTTGAGTATGTCGATCTTCAAGTATCTCTGTATATATCTTGGATTGTGTGTGTCGCTTAGCATAAGAAATGATCGTGTGAATCTCTTCTGAGTTCGTTCGAGAAATAAAATTGTATTCTTATGTCTTCTATTCTATGCATTTTCTGCTAAATTTGTGTCAAGTGGAGAAGATTAATTGTGCTTTTGGAAAACATTAACTAAATATAGCATAAATTCGAACACAAGGTGCCATAAGCAACCAGTTAAAATAGCACCTATTACAGTAAGAGAGAAGAAAATTAAGGGGTTGTTTAGTTCTATGCCTTGGATTGCCGCACATTTTGCCAAATTTGCCTAAGATTAGTTTAATAAAATGAAAGCCACAAGTTGACAAGCCTAAGGAAATCATGCGATACTTTTTGTGTGTATGTAATGTGGGGCCGTAGTGTAGCTTGCCTAAGGTGTTGCTTGAACCAAACACACACCTAAATTGGCCAAACTTACCTAAACTTAGATGTCGCAAATTTTGAAAAAGTTAGGCCCTGTTTGGTTCATAAGTCCTAGGACTTTTTTTAGTCCCAACTTATAAGTCCCAAGTCCCTAAAAAGTCCCTACCTGTTTGGTTCCTGGGACTTATAAGTCTCTATAAGACCATATTACAACTATAAGTCCCTATAAGTCCCTTCTTAAGAGTCTTATTTCATAAGTCCCAAATGCCCACTTTAAGTCCCTATAAGTCTCTCCTGTTTGGTTTAGATGGGACTTATAGAGACTTATTTAAGTCCCTAGACCAATAAGTCCCTGGAAACAAACACCCTCTTAGTCGCAAACCAAACAACCCCTAAGAATGCAACAAAAGATCAATTAATTAGCACCATCGCTATCACCTCTATATATATATCAGTTATCCAATACCCGATTTCAACAAACTATTCAAGGAATACCTCAACATATAGTTAACTTGAATGCACTAGCTAGATACACTACCCAAACCGCATATATAACGGAATAATAACCATGCTCAAGCACAATATGAAGTTCGCCACACCAGGCCAAAATCCGAAAATTGACCTTTTTTGGGAAAGTTCGGCACGAAATGACCCTGTTCGAAATGTTTAATAAATCTGACCCTTTTCTGAAATGCAACAAAAGGCGCCATTTTATTTGAACTACGCAACACCATGGTCAATATGTTGACACTCAAATGCAGTCACGGAAGAACAAATAGGAAGTATTATAAATATTTGCTTGATCCTCGTCATAACTAGAACTTGCAGACTCGGGTCCATCTAATTCAATACTTTTACTCTTTCCACAACCTCATCAAGACTAAAGACTTGTCACAAATGACATGCCTTTCTCCTCGTTCTCAACAAGCTAGGCATTGTTACTCAATAAAGTCGCCGTGTCCATGTAATGAGCACTAACAAGTGTCACTATCTAAAAACAATGGCAAGAAACATAATACATCAACGAAAAATCTACCGCGTAACACTTAAAGCACATTGCAAGAATATAGCATCAAGGAATAAACAATCAATAATAGTCCATGCCATTACATCCATTCCCCCTCTAACACACAAACCCTAACCCTAACCATAGTTCATTGATGTCACAAATAATAAATATATGACTAATCGTAGTTCTTACTACACATCACAAAAATTATATTGGCCATTGTATCACCACTTCAACACTGGATTTGGGAGAAATCCCCAAAACTAGAATTTGGGCACACTTGACCAATGCCACCCAACAAATGAAAGTCAACCAAATTGTGGGAGATGTGAGAGGTTACCTCAACGGATGGAGAAGGAACTGAATCTACGGATAAATGTCACCGATTTGGCATCGCATTGGTACTCACATTTTTCTGGATTTATTTCAGCTTTCCGGCGATGTTTATTTAGTGGGAGTAGACCTTCCCATCGACTATGAGGTGTCTGTGGTGACCTGGTCAATCTCAAATTGTTATGTTGGCACATTATCTCGAAGGTGCCGATAGGGGTAGGGTATGCGTGAGTGGGTTCATAGGGGTGAGCCCATGTGTGCATATGTGAACTTCCACGGTTGTACCATGTTAAAAAAATTGAAGTAACATCAATGACTCGTAGACGATGTTCCTATAAAAATCATTTTGGTTAGAAACATCAAACAACATTGTTATGAAATTTTAGGTAAGCAGATATTAAACCACATACATCAAAAGCAATAGTGAAACCCACAAAAAATTATGAAATGCGTACATAATAAAATAAATAATGTGTATAGGAAAAAACAAAAAGGATAAATTAAGATAGGAGGGCTGATTTAGATCAAATGAAATGTCATTTTGGTAGGCACTCCCTCCGTCCCACGATATAAGACGTTTTTCGCAAATTAGACTGCATACTACAAATATGAACGAACAAACTCTTACGGCAATTTCTCCCAAAGGAGAGCTTTCTACTCAGAAGCAAGAGTACAAGACGTCTGTTTTGACTTTCAACTACTCCATTGACGAGCAAGCAAACAGAAAAGCACATGCATTGATTCAACACACACTCTGTGAGTCAAACTGTCAGCTCGGCGCCGGTCTTGGGACAGTTCGGCGACCGTTGAGAAAGGACACTCAGTGCATGATCACACCCTACGGCCTGCAACACTACGGCTGAGTAGATCGGCGCACACAATGCACTGATGGAGCTGCCGCTGCTACTACTTTTTGGGCACATGCACTGCTGGTATGCTTGTTTGACGGTTGAGTGGCGCGCACTGCGTGGCTTGCCATCAAGTATTTGTCCTGGTACAACATTTGCTTCCGAGCCAGCCATACGAACCAGGCCTTCACTCCAGCCTCCTTGGTCAGGTTTCCCTGCCTCTGGTCCGTCTCTTCTTCTATCGTTCTTGGATCATGAAGGCGCAGTGGATCCCGGTTTTGTTGGCGGGAGGACTGCGTTTTTAGGTGGTTTTCTTAAAGTTTTGTTAGGGTTTATGCCATGCTCAGAAAGACGAGGCGGAGGTGGCTTCTTGAACATGGAATAAGGTCCTTCCCACCTAGGCCCCGTTCCGTCTATATTTCTAGCATTGTCGGAGAGCGTGTTGAGGTGTGTCTCCAGTGGATCTCGTGGGATCGGGTCGGTGTTTGTCTTCGGTGGATCCGCTTCGATCCGGTCTTCGTTCGTGTATGTGTTTGCGGGTTGAATCTTTTCGATCTAGGATTCTCTTCATCGGCGGCGGTTGTTGTTCTGATACGCTGGTCCTATGGGGTCTTAGCACGATGAGTTTCCAGCTGTCTACAATAACAAATGTTTGTCCGGCTCCAATGATGGAAGGACGATGACGGCGGCGCGCCTTCAGTTCGCTCCAGTGCTTGTAGTCGTTGCTAGGTGGCCTACGGACCTGGATGTAATTCTTAGTTCTGGTGTTATTTATACTACCTTGACAATTGATAAATAGATTGAAAGTTTTCTCGCAAAAATAAGTATTTGTAGTACAAGTTTGCCCATGTGGACTTTCTATGGAAATTTGTTTTTTACGCTCATTTTGTCATCAAGTACTTGGACAACACTTTGCGTATTTCAAAAGATAAAACTTGACATTATTTGCTTATTCAAATATTGACAAAAAAATTGTACCTCCCACATGCCCCCTTTTATACAGCTTCGTAATTTTGCACCTATTCTGTGAAGAGCATGCAAGGCATGGTGTCAGCTTCACACTTCATAGTGAAAAGACAAGTTTGCCCGTGCAGACTTCCTCAGGAACTTTGTGTTTTGCCGTCATTTTGTCATCAAGTATTTGAACAACACTTTGGTGCATTTCAAAAGATATTTGACAATAAAACTTGACATTATTTGCATATTAAAATTTTGACCTAAAGATTGTGCCTCTCCCCTCGTGTCGCAACTGGGCCGCACGCCCGCGCTCCCTAGCCTCCGTCTGCCATGCCGCACCACCCTTGAAACTGCCACACATCGATCGCCGCCCACTACCATTCTCGCCAAGAGCAAATAGCCACGAAGAGTAGCCTCGGGCATGTTGGAGGCGTTACGCCATTTTGGCGAAGGGAGTTTGTATGGATAAGCAAGCTTAGGGCTAGGTTTTTCGTTTCTTATTTTCCGGAATGTGCTCCCATTTCTAAAAACACTTCCATCCAATTCCAACTAACGGAGCGTAAGCAAGGGGCAAAAGTGTCTTCAGTTGAGAAGGCAAAATCATAATGTTAGATAAGCGAGGGTAAAACTGCAATTGGAATTCATATTAGAAAACCATAATGCCTCTCCCAAACCATAATGGCAACGGCCAACAGTACAGCTGCAGCTGTTCACGCGGCTCACGCAGCTCTGCTCTGACCTATCTGGTCCATATATATGCTTCTCTCGTTTGCTTGGCCGGCCACATTTCGTTCACGCAGTCGAAGTAGCAAGCAGTAGGTTTTGTGCACTCCCCGGCCCGAAGTCTGCCCATGGCTCGGCTTTACCACCTCACGCTCCTCTCCGTCTTCTTCTTCCTGCTCCTCACCGGCCTCGTGGCTGCTGATCTGTCCGGAGGGAAGAAGGTCGGGAAGAAGGTGACCATGACCGTGCGGTACCCGCCTGAAGACTTGGGGGAGAAGATCACGATCTCGACGCACCTCGTCGGCGAGGGCGGGGTCGGCGACAGCCACTTCCATCTCGACGGCGACGACTACGAGCCGTATGTCTAGCTCTCTCTTTCTCCAACTCATCGTCACAAAGGACACACTCCACCGAATAATTTTTTAGCTAAGCTCGCAATCGATCTGCAGCATCATTTTCGCCGTGAAAAACCTTGTTTCTGCCCTGGGGAAGGTAGGGGATCCGCAGGCCTCTCTATCCGAGGTAATGCACATTTTGTCCCTCCCTTTCTCATCCATTGGTTCAGATTTCAGAACGCAAATGTAAGCTACTGACCTTTGCCTAATTGTTTCTCAGATGTAGCTTCACGGTGCATGCCCAGTCACTGCGCCACTGGACACTGGAGATGGAGCTCCTCTTTACTTTCGTCTCAGCGAGAATACATTAGGCGCCTTACTATTTTATTGTACTACCGTCTGCAAGCAGAAGTGCCCATCCGGTGGCCTATTATTTGGGCTATAGTAATGTCGTAGTGTTTATGGTGCTGGAGTCTGTCTGCAGCTATCTCTGTGTATCTTGGATTCTATAATCTTCCGGGCTAGGGAAAGAAAATATTTCGTCGTTCTTCAATTTATTTCTGCTCAATTTCCATCAAGTAGAGGATCACTATTGTGCTTTATTAAGAAATTAAATAGAACATAACTGCACGAGTATAAAAAGGAAATGGGAAGGACGTAAGAACAAAGTAAAAAACAAGCGAGGAATGGGCTGAGACTGAAAACAGAGGGACACACTAGCTAATAACGCCATGTACGCTAGCTAATAGCACTACGATGACAGAGTCAGCTTATTTTCTTAAGTGAGACCGATTCATTAAACAAAATAGAAGAAATATGTCCGGTTAATTTGTGAAAAAAGCGGGCAGAAACCGTTACAACACACTCACAAGACGTGGCATCGTGCCACCGCCCTGCCTCGCCTCCAGCAAACTCCCGTCAAAGCCTCGCCCGGCGTCCCCATTTTCGGCTTGGGTTCCGTCTGATCCAATCGGGGGTCAAAGTAAAAAAGGCTCCCCCATCTGCACCCCTCAATCCTCAAACTTGCCTCCGCCTGAGACGCTGTCCCGAGACACATCGCAACTAGCTCCGGCTTGGTCTTGCTAGCGTGCTCGCTAACACTTGTCGCGGCGCCCCCATCTAAGCCTTGAGACTTCACTCCTCTCCCATCGACTCACACAGTTTGTAATTTTAGCCAGCTGATAATTAGCAAAATCGAAATTCATTTGGCCATAGAAAATATGAATGAACAACCATTTTAGCTAGAAACGAAGAACATGTTTCAACTTTGTACCAACGAACAAACATAAGCCACATGCATTCAACACACATGAGATGTGAGAACCGGGCCACCAGCAACCGTCCGGTAGACAGTACTACTTGTGTTGATGCTCCATGCATGAGTTGACACCAGAAACCGTCTGGTAGACGGCACTACTAGTGTTAGACGCTCCATGCATGAGTTGATCGATCACACCAAAGTTGAAGTAGCACCGGTAACTCGTGCATGATCACTCTCTACATGACACTACAAAGCCATCCAAAAGGACATGAATCGTGAACGATGTGCAGATCACTAGCAATTTATGTTAAGACATATCGGACATCATTGTTGTGAAAATTTGGTTAAGCGGATGTTAAATGACTTCAAAAGCAATATTGCTTGCAACCTCACGAAAGAAATATGAACTCAATATCACTAGTAGAAAAGGGGGCTTTGGTCCAGGCCGGGTAAGCTCATTAGTCCCGGTTCAGTCCAGAACCGGGACCAATGGGTGCATTTATCCCGGTTCGTGCGGCTAAGGCATTAGTCCCGGTTCACCTGGGCCCTTTAGTCCCGGTTCGTGCCACGAACCGGGACTAAAGGGTGCGATGCCCATTAGTCCCGGTTGGTGGCACCAACCGGGACTAATGGGCTTTGAGGCATTAGTACCGGTTCATGCCACGAACCGGTACTAAAGGTCCCATTTTCAAACTCTCTCTCCCCCCCTGGACCGCCTTTTCAGTTTTAGAAAAAACAAAAGAAAATGATGGAAATGTCAAAAAAATAAAATAAAATAAGTTTCCCATGTGATATGTGGTCTAGTTGTTGGGAAAATTTACAAATATGAACTTCGACTTTATTTACAAAATCTCTCTGGAATTTGTAAAATGGGCATAACTTTTGCATACGAACTTGGATTAAAAAGTTTTTTATATGAAAAATCATCTACTCGAAAAGTTACATCCGATGGAGACCGCCTACGGCCTGTTTGCAAATTTGTAGAATCCTCAAATTTCAAAAGGAAAAAAGTTATGCTCAAATTTCAGTTTTTTTAAATTTTCATTAAATCTGGTCAAACTATGGTCAAACTACTTATTCAAGAAGTATTAATGTTACTAAATAATTATTCAAGAATATTAGTGTTATTAAATAATTATTTCAGTTTTTTTGAATTTTGGTCAAATCTGGTCAAACTATGGTCAAACTGTGGTCAAACAATGGTCAAACTACTTATTCAAGAAATATTAGTGTTACTAAAAAATTATTGTTTTTTAGAACAATAGTTTCAAACTCAAACAGTGAAATGTGTGACTTCATGCTCAAGCTAAACTCCTGAGGGTTAATAGGATTGACATCTTACTATTGTCAGGAAAACAACGAGTATAGACTTGGAAACGAGGGAGAATAGAATCCGGAAGTTAAGCGTGCTCAGGCTGGGGGAGTGGGAGGATGGGTGACCGTCCGAGAAGTTAGATGATTTGGAATGATGAGGGATAATTAGAGATTAAATTGAGCAGTGATGAGGAGTGATTAGAGATTAGAGGTTAAAATAATTCAGAAATTTGAAAATAAAAAAAAAATCAAAAAAAAGCAGAAAATTTCCTTTAGTACCGGTTGGTGTTACCAACCAGGACTAAAGGTGGACCGGCCACGTGGAGGGTCTTTAGTCCCGGTTCTGATTTGAACCGGGACTAAAGGGTCAGGGCATTAGTAACGACCCTTTAGTCCCGGTTCAAGAACTTGAACCGGGACTAAAGGCCCTTTTTCTACTAGTGTATATAGCAAAGGGAAGGTGTACAGGAAACAGAAAGGTAAGGGAGGGTGGGTTTACAATTACAAAGCTGAAGCAAATATCTACAAACTGCCTTTTCCTGTGAAACAAGACTTCTGTTTCTGACTTTCAAGTGTACAGTACCACCGATGAGATGAGCGAACAGAAAGCACATGCATTCAACCACACACTTTTTCAGACAGAGAATCCGCTTGCAGCGTCAAACTGTCAACTCTGTGACCATAAGCTGATGACACCCGGCACTAGCAAGTACTCCCTCCGTCCGGAATTACTTGTCATTAAAATGGATGTGTCTAGAACTAAAATATATCTAGATAAATCCATTTCAATGATAAGGAGGGAGTAGCAGCTTGTACTACATGATCACCCTACAGCCTCCACTGACACTACGGCCGAGTAGATCAGGTTCACAGACAGTTGATTGGGTTCACAGACAGTTGATTGGCGCACACTGCCTGAGTGGAAACAAGAACTCAGCTCTGCACCGAGCTAGCTCCTGTACATTAGAAACCTAATCCATTTTTCTTTTTCAATTTTCCAAGGTAAAATCCTAGTTGGGATCCACTGTAGTCTGTAGGGGTAAGAACACCAATGTCTCTAAAACCATACTGGCAACTGTACGTACATCAGCAGTAGTTCACAACTCTGCTCTTACCTACCTATCCTCCATATATGCATGTTTGGCCGGCCACATTTCGCTCACGCAGTTGAAGTAGCAACCAGGGCAACCAGCCAACCAGTAGGTTCTGTGCACTCCTCAGCCCCAAGTCTGCCATGGCTCGGCTTCGGCTCTACCACCTGACCCTCCTCTCCGTCTTCTTCTTCCTGACCCTCACCGGCCTCGAGGCTGCCGGTCCGTCCGGAGGGAAGAAGGTGACCATGACCGTCCAGTTCCCGCCTGCCGACTCGCCGCCGGGGGAGAATATCACGATCTCGACGCACTACGTCGGCGATGAC